GAAAGAAACATTGCGAAATCGAGCTGTCTTGAGCTTACTCGAGCATCATTGGCAGCAAACCTAGGAAGCGTGGAGAGGTTAGTGCTGCTAGTCGAAGCAAAATGCTGCGCTCCTGCGCCCCTGCCTGAGGGGACGGAATCTGTCCGTTAGCGAGAGGGCGGGAAGGGAAGCCACCCAATCTGGGAAGCAAGCGGGAAGGCACATGGCGGTTCCTGGCCCGTGCTATTGAATCACCGCAGATACGTAACTGACTGGATGCCGGCAAGTATCTAGCAGCCTAAATCACTACACATGGCTACAAAATGCCGGTCCGGGCAGCTGAGAAGTCAGGCCCACGGGTGTTTAGGTGGAACAACTGGAAGCGGGCTTGCACCCCCTTGTGCCTGGGATTGATATTGATGGCAATTAATGACGCTTCTCTTTTCAAGAACGACTGTAGTAGAGATAGAAAGATAGGAGAGACAAGAGATGTGATACATGGAGCTCGCAGTATGCTACCTGGTTGAGACGAGTTCGGCTGTCAGATCCTCTCTATTGGCGAGCCATCTGACAGGTCGCAGTGCCGTTGTTGGACCTGCAGCACACCTTGGACTTCTAAAGAAGGTTGCTGGGCTCTACTTGATCCGTTTGGACTGCTGCACTTTCCCTTCTCCCTTCTTTCTTTTCCTTCCTTTTTTCCCTTATTTTTTCCCTTCTTTTTGCAAGCGAATTGCGCGATCCACAGCTGCGTAAATCAACCAGCCCCAACCCACGAGCCAGAACAAGCTCAAAGTAGCGTGTCAAATACGTACCTTAAGTGCTATCGCCTAGCTCGGCTGGCGAGCCAGAGCGCAGGGAGTACGGTGTCTGAATATCCGCGCCAAGCAGGGGAGAGCAGCGTTCCTGGCTGGTGGGGGCAGAGCCAGACCACTTTCGGAAATTGAGGGCCAGGCATGTCCCTGTAGCCCCTCTGGAGGATACTTGCACGTGGATACTTGCAGCAATTCCGAGTTGCAGATGCTGGCTCCACTCTCCATCTGGCGTCGTCTTCATCAGGCCCCGTCATGGCCATTTCAATCCTAGCCGCACTGGATCTGGCTGCCAACCGTGGCCCCTTTCATCAACGCTGGACAGGCTGTGAGGCAGGGTGGTATTCCTCGCAGTCAGGTCGTCAGATAAGTCAGGGAGCTGGTCATGTACCCTTCCAGCTGCTTGCTGAGCCACCCCAACCGGTCTATTCAGGGACAGGCAGGTGTGAACAATCATGATGCGTGCATGCCTCTGCTGCCCTGCTGAGCCGGCTGGCTCATTGCAGCAAAGTACCCAAGCGGTCTTTTGTGCCTTGCCGAAGCCTCCGCGAAGGAGGAAAGAGCCGTACCATGACTTGGCGCTACTGCTCTCCTGGGCTGGTCCCTGCTTGGGCGTGGGTCTGGACCGCTAGTCCAGATGCCCAGTCGCGGTGCTGTTGCCGCTGCTGATGCTGCTACATAGTACTTGCTACTTGATACTAACAGTACTTGCTGGTAGTGACTCTTATTATCTGGACCATCAAAGTGAATCGCGACCGTTACAAGTACGTGACCCGCCCCCCCTTTGGGTCGATGCGACCAGACCAGCAGAACCAACAGACTCTTCTTGCTGGCCACCGCTTTGTTTCCACGACTGACTGTCTGGCTGGCTGTCTATCTGCGACCTGCGACTGGAGAGAGCACCTGCATCGTCCTCGGAGAGCCTGCCTGACTGAGCAGTGTGGATATGACGGATTGAGCAGCGCTGCATCAGTCCATTCTCCGTTTAATGCCTGCTGCCCTCGTTCCCACGTTTAATTGAACTCATAGCAGCCTGCAGCAGTTCCAGCGCCCCAGACGCCGCGCAGCACCTCGCACGGCACCGCACAAGTCCAGCACAACCCGCGGCACAACCACGGCACATTTTGTGCGTGCATGCGCTCCGAACCGCCGTCCTTCACGCCTACATTACTTAAAGCATTGCCCGACGCTGATGTCCTCATGGCGCGCCCACGAGGCAGGTCGAGCGCTGGCTCAATCATGGAGGGCTATTTGACCATCCCGCCCGACAGGGGATCCATTCTCGGCCGTGCTGTCTGGAAGGTACGCTCCTGCCTGCTTCGCTCTGGTCTGCTGGCCTCCCTCCCGGGCATCGCCAGCTTCAATTCTAGCTCCGGTTTCTAACTCGCCGCAAACTTTATTCTGCTCATTACAGACTCGATATGTTGTTATTGGCAGCGCCCAGGGCGAGGTCAGCGGCCCAAAAGCCCCATCCGCCGGCTCTCTCGACGGCCTTACCTACCTTTCCATCTACAAGAACCCGGTACGTCGCTCATCGTCTCTCCTCGGGAACAGCAGTCTCTGCTCCTGAGTGCTTCAGAGTGTTGAATGGAGCGCACAGCAAGAGAACAACATCCACTGACAACAAGGCTTTGGTTTCTTTGCGGAACTATAGGATGACTGGGAGCCAGCTCAGCAGTACGCCGTGAGCAACGTTACCCACTGCCAGGTGCAGTCCATTGTGCACCGCAAGCAGGGCCCAGCTCTACCGACACTCATCCTCACCATCGCTCCCGATCCCCTGACCGAAAAGATTCGAAAGCGACGGTCGAGCCGCGCCGCCACACTTGTCTCCAACAAGGACAATGGGCCAACCACATTGTGGTTCCGTACAGAGGGAGATGCCTCGCGCCTCAACGAGTGGGCAAGGTGCATCCAGTCCGCCATTCAACCGAGTTTACCAGAGCACCACCTGCCCATGAGCCCCATGACTCCCATGACTCCGCTGTCTCCGTACTTTCAGAATCCCTTCAGTCCCTTTGCCTACCGTGACACCCCAGAGTCCTCTGGATTCAGGCCGCCAAGCGCACCAAAGGTCCTCCTGCACCACAAGCCGTCGGCCTCGCTCCACGTCAGCCGCGAAAGGCCTCTTACCATCTCAGACGCCCCAAGCCTGCGATCTCGGCGCAGCGATCTGTCGTCCCTCATCAGTTCCACCACAGCGGGCACTGCCACGACACACAGCTATACAGCCAAGCCATCATCCGAGGTGCCATCGCCTATCGAGATGACCGGAGAGTCCTTTGGTGGCTTCATTGAGGGTTGGACATCGGCACAGGGACGGTCGACAAACTTGAATTCTCCAGTGAGAATTGCACGAAACAGTGATGAGCTGCAACAGCCAATGTCCCCGGCCGCGTTGCTGGACTCAGGCTCGCCGCCAGGGCCTGGCGAGACAATTCTCGACCGGGCATTCCAACTAAAGTACATTCCAGGCTCGGACCAACAGGCTCCAGGTGGAGAACACTTGAGTTCCCTGGCTCGATTCGAGGCGTTGATGCGAGAGGTGGACGCGCAAAGAGAAGACAGGACACAGTCTTTTAGACCCGTGAGCATGGCCCAACAATCCGAGTTGAGAAGCGCGTGGGATGTGGATGACAGCTCAAACGACGATGATTCGGATGCAGACTCGGACGATACCCAGGGTGAATCTTTAGAACGAGATTTGGAAGACAGACTCAGTGGATTCGAGCGCATTTCACGCCGAGCGACCGGGTTGACAAGAGACGAGCCGTCGACGCCCTTTCAGTTGCCACGACGCATCCGCGGGACGTTCTCGCCGGGCGCAGTTCATCAGGGATCGTTGTCATCTCTCGCGACCCGATCTCGCGGACATGATGCTCGGTGCGAGTACAATTCCACACAAAGCAGCATCGTGCCTGATGGCGCCGCATACTCTGATGAGCTGCTGGACAATCTGAATGCGTCGTCTGCGTATCGCACCAGCACGCTTGCAGAGGGCCAGCACGGGCACTCAGCAACGAGCAGCATCGGGGAGAGACTGAGCATGAACGATTATAATCGGCGGCACAGCTCCACCAGCAGTATGCTCATTATGCAGTCCAACGCACATACCGACACAGCCGATATTCCCAGCCCATCGGCGAAGCCACGTGCTCCACCTCCAATGTACGCTTCGTCCAGGCGAGACGTACAGGAGCCTGCCGACAAGTACAAAAGCTGGCGGAGCAGCACTACCATTATCGCAAACGACCGCAACTTCCTTTGATTCCTTAGCCTCTCGTCTGGCCGTGTCTTGATCTGATGATGCTGTTGTCTCAGTCTTGTCGGGTCATTTTCTGGTTTTTGTTGTGACATTGCTTTGGAGATACCCAAACAAGTTGTGCGCTTGTAGCCTTCTACTGTTTAACTTTTGTTGCATTCTCCCCGGGTCGACCCATGGGGTTCCATGAGGCCATCTTATTCGCATGCCTCTGGTTTTTGCATTATTTTTTTTTGAGCTCAGTCATTGCTGCATTCATGACCATCACGACCATCTATACCTCCCTGTATAACAGCATATTCAGCATATATAATCATGTATGGAGTTGACTGCGTTGCCATTGGTTGCACATGGATATTTGTCATTTTCAATTTTCATATACATATCACTTTTCATGGGTAGAAGGGACTAGCGGAGGGAAAGACCCAGGATTGCGGCGAGGGGAAATACATATAGATCAAGGTGCCAGCAGGCGTATCTAGCTGGCAAGCAGAAGCCTAGCGGAAGCATGAAGAGCAAAGCGATGTACTAAGGACACAAGAGGACGGATATCTGATTTTGTAATTATCACAGTATTGCATGCATCTTTGGTACACATTTGTGTATCTTTCTGCTGGGTAAAAAAAGATACTTTGTTTGAACACATCAAGCTATGTATATACACCGAGCCTTTCAACAACTGTATCTATAGGTTATGGGATTACTTGCCCCTGTTTTGAAGGCTGAAGTCTTTGACTACTCTTTTACATGGTTACAATTGACCAGATTAAGGTTCAACTAGGATATTTGAGCAGCAGTTCGAAATGATCACCACGCAACGAAGGATGCCTCACAGTGTTGAACGAAAAGAGGATGAGTAACATAAACAATAATCATCAGTAAAGCGAAGTGGTTTTGCAATGGGCAAATAGTATAAAGGTAATGAGGGGATTCTAAAAAACCAAAACATAAGGTCGTGCTGAGAATCGAACTCAGATTACCGGAAGGATCGTGTCAAGTTGACTAATCAGAATCCGATGTGATAACCATTACACTACACAACCAAGCAGTTATTGGTTTGCTGGAATACTTGTTAAAATCATAATTTATATTTACAATATAAAATGTTGTCGAGATCTGAAAGATGGCTGTGATTCTATCTCGCTATGCCGGTGATCTGGCTTCTATTGCTTCCAAATTTGTCCTGATGGTAATGTTTCTATATTGTTCCAAGGAGATTGCTGTTGGTTTCTCTACATCTTGTCAGATATTGCTAACAGTGTGCACTAGTGATTCAAGGCAGTAACGTAGCCCTGCAGGGTACTTCAAGGCAGCTGGAGCTCAAATACAGACAACACCTATCTTCAACCCTGAGCCTCTGTGTCAGGGTTAGTTACAACGCGGCTGTTGACAATCATCTTGACACGAGCACATGTTTGACCAACTCCATCAACTCCTGGTCTACCTCGTCCAAGCCTGGCGACGGCTTCTTATATACAAGACATTATTCTTGCTCGATCCATGCTTCTTTGTACAGCGTTTCATCTACCCTCAAATACCACTTCGTGTTCCATACCCGCCCGCCAACTGTCCTTGCCGTCGCCGCCCTCCTCCTCCTCCTCCTCCTCGCTTCTCCATCTGGCGCGCATTCACCTCTCAGCCTCGCTACGAGCCATCCTGCCACCTTCACAAGCCCATCATGCCTCCTCTTCCACCAGCCAGCGGCCTCCCCCGCCTCGTCATCTACTACCAGTCCCACCACCACCCGGACGGCAGCCCCATCTCGCTCCTCCCACTCCTCCAACAACCCGGCATTCGCCTCACGCACCTCAACATCGCCGCCTTGCACATCAACGCCAACAAGCTCTACCCTTCGCAAACCATCACCCTCAATGACCACATCCCCTCACACCCATGCTTCACGACCCTGTGGGCTGAGGCCCGCATCCTGCAAGCTGCCGGCGTCAAGGTCCTCGGGATGCTAGGCGGCGCGGCCAAGGGCGCCTTTGCGCCCACGACGCTGGACAGTCCTGATGAGGCGGTCTTTGAGCGGTTCTACGTGGCGGTGCGGGACGTAGTACGGGAGAGGAACCTCGATGGGTTGGACTTGGATGTCGAGGAGCAGTGTAGCCTGGCTGGAATCGTGAGGCTGATTGATCGCTTAAGAAGGGACTTTGGCCCGGGATTTATCATTACCTTGGCGCCCGTTGCGCCGGCGTTGTTGGATGTGAGGCGGAATTTGAGCGGGTTCGATTATGAGGCGCTGGAGGTTATGAGGGGAAGGGAGATTGCGTTTTACAATACCCAGTTTTGTAAGTTTCTTTTCTTTTTTTTCTTTTTCTTTTTCTTTTTTTTTTTT